GGCGCGGGGCCATGTCCGGGATTTTCTGAATTGTGTGTGAACGGCAAAAATGTATCCAGGATGCACTTTAATGGAAGCGCGATAATTGCACGATGATGCTAGTTGCGTCTGATAGCCATTTACGTATTGTGGGGTTCCTTTCAGTTTAGTCCTGGATTTGTTCTTATTTCGCTTTCTTATCGCTTTGTGGCCTGCGTGTGATAAGGTCCTATGCCAATTGTTGATTCCCTCAGTATGTCTGGAAAATGTGCCTACTGTTAAGAACTGATCATGTTAACTCTTAACAATTATGAAAAGGAGATATGCTTATGATGTACACAGCAAACTAAGCAATGATCTGGTTGTATTTCTGCTAGAGTATCAGAGATATCAGCAAATATACAATGAGGATAATCAGTTAAAACCATGCTTCTCAACAAATTTGGCTAAAAAAGAAATCTTGCAAGGAAAATGTTCTTTGTAAGTACCAGAAATAAAAGCTGCAAGTGGGTGTCAAGAGAATGTAGTTATTTTTCAGAACTATGAAGGCCTCATGCTTTCTGATGGAAATCTATACTGGCTGGGGAATTCTGGGAACTATAGATCAAGAAAGTAACCTTTTCAAGCTTTTCATATCTATATTACAGACTGGAATGGGCAAATCCATTGATTTTCTACCACCAAGATAATTTTTCCAGTTTGGATTTGCAATATATTATAAGCTTTTCTTCCTTGCACAGAAAATCATCATTATTCCATAAAATTGTCAGAATGCTCACATTATTTGTGTAGATTTCTGACATTTAGTGTTTGGGCCTAAATCCAATTATTTATTCCCAAGTCAAATCAATGGATTTTACATTAGCTCGACTCCTCTAGTTCCTGTTGATTCAATAGGCCTACTCTAATTAGGGCTGATGTTTGGATATAAGCTTAGATACATTTTTTTTCCATCAAGGAAGCATTTTTATGAATATTTTCAAATGTACACATTCTGTGTGTATTTCAAATACAAAACAAGAAAGGAAGATATCTTGGAAGATTCTGAAAGATGGTTCTTATTAGCTAAAAGGTCTGATGCATTTTGACTTGTAGATAATCTTTCAGAATTCTTATTCGATGCTGTGAGGTGCCCTGGGTCTCATATTGAGAGGGAAGAAGGATATATATATATATATATATATATATATATATATATATATATGTAACATAAATTATTCAGAGGACCACCTGAAGAAAAAACTGAAGAAGCTTCAGAACAAGGAATTCCAAAATCATTTACTGGCAAAATTAAATAAAATAAATTATTGAAACATGATGAATTATTAAATTTGCAAGATAGTCATTGATTGACCCTGGGCAAGTCACCCTTTATCCATGTTTATGTAGAATATTTTTAGGCCACAGAGATCTGTTAAGGTCCTTTGGAGGTCTTTAGTGGATGATCTAATCATTCTATGCCTGGCTTTGGGGACATAGGGCCAATGCAGACCACCCTAAAGGGCCAATCTGGGGGTGGAGTTGGGCAGGCTGACTGCATGCCAATCACCCTGACTCTGCCCTGCCACTGCCTTCATGCTGCGCACCTGACTGTATGGTGCACAGTGCCAAAGGGATGCAAAAGAGCTGCAGTGGTGGCTCCTTGGATGGCTTTTTGCTGTCCCTAAAAGGAGCGGCATTTGCCAGCTCTTTTTGGAGTGGCAAAAAGAAGGATTGGGGCTGTGGTGTGTGGTTGCTGCAGCCCCAATCTGGTGCTCCCAGGAATGGCACAGAGCCACCCCTTAGGGGCCGTCTGCATCGGTCCATAGTCAGGGATTTCTTCATTCTCACCTTCCAGCTGTCCATCAACCACTGAATATCTGTGCGGAGGTCCATGGTGGCTAAATGGGGCCTGGTCATTGCAGAGGATCGAGGAGAATACCAACGTCTGCAATAACCAAGAAAGAGAGAGATACTCAGATGTATGTTGGCTTTAGGCTTCTATATGCTACTAACAGGATGATTCCTAGTAAGTTTTAACCTGAATCCCCCCCCCCCTCGTGTTGAACAGCAGCCAGTTCAACCACCCTAGCACTCTTTTTCTTGCCTCAGTGAATTTGGCCCCAGTGAATTATTCAAAAAGTTTGTTGTTGTTGTTATCTGCCTTCGCGTCGATCTTCACTTGTGGCGACCCTGCTGA